TCTAGGCCGAGGGCTTCACGTGCTCTGGGAGCCCCGGGACTGTTCCTCCCCATCTGACAGGGCCAGGAGGAGGGAGCGGATGGCCCAAGGCCATTCAGCAGCCGAGTGACAGGCCTGTTTTGAACTTGGCTCTTACTCAGGACACACGTCCAGTGCACCTGGCAGCAGGTAGAGCATGCCTGGTGGACTCGCTGAGCCCAGTGATGGTCTCCCCTTAGCCTTGCACAGGGGTAACGAGTGAATCTGCCTCCCCAGCACCCCATAGACCCACCGGCTACAGCTTTAGACAGAAGGGGCAAACGCAGGCCACTGTCCCTTGCTCCTTCCCTGGCCCCTGTCCAGCCCCTGGTTGCCCACCCCCAGCACCTCTGCCCCACCTTCTTGAAGCCCGCTTCTGAGTATATCCCGTCTTCTCCAAAGCCTCCTCGCCATCCTCAGAAGCTACGAACCCCTTGGTCTGGAGCACAAGCTCCTTCCTGGGCTCATTTCACCTGCTCTCCTCCTTATTCCAGCCCCTGGCCTCTCTGGTCCTGACCCGCTTTTTCTTACTCTCTTCCCTCTTTCTGGAATGCCCTTCCCTGCAATACCCTACATCCAATCCCCACCTCCTCCAAGCCTATTTCAAGTGCCTCCTCTTCTGCAAGGTCTTTTGTGATTTGTTTTATTTGTTGGTGACTGACTCTCCCTCTCTGAAATCCTACACCCCACTATCATCCTATCTGCCCCTTGTGGGGTCGCCCTGGGGCTCCCTGAGGGCCTGCTTCATCTTTGTGCATTCCCGCCCCAGCACCCACTGCGGCACCTTGTGCATGTAGGTGCTCAGTAAGAGCTGACCAAAGACGCGGTGGCAGGGGCAGAGAAGCCGGAAGGAGTCTCCACCGCTCTCCAGGGCCCCTGGGCGTTCCCACCCTGCCCCGGGCCTGCCCCCACCCCAGAGCAGACATCCCCGGGCTCCCTGCCTCCAGCCACCCCTGTCACAGCTTACCCGGCCCGAGTCCCATCCCAGCACCACGTGGGCTCTCACCTAGTGAACTCACCCCCGCACGTGTGTCTGTTGGCCTACGACCCTTCCCAGACACAGGGGGCCTGGCCGACGGGGCAGGCCTGCTCTGGGGGCCCTCAGGGGTAGAGGTCTCTCTCTCTCTCCCTCCTGCCCTATTTCACCCTCCCATTCCCCCCCTCCCTTCCTCTCTCCCTCTTTTCCTTCCCAGGTCTCTTCCTTCCTTCTTCCTGTCTCCCTATTTCCTTTCTTTCCTCTTGCAACATTTTTCAAGAACCGACTGTGTAAGTCAGACCAAGAAAGGCAAATACCATATAATTTCACATCTGTATGGAATCTAAAAAACAAACGAACAAACAAAACAGAAACAGACTCATGGACACAGAGAGCAGACTGGGGGTTGCCCGAGAGGAAGGAGGTGGGGGCATGGGTGAAATAAGTGGAGGGGAGAAAGACAAACTTCCAATTAAAAAATAAATTAGTCACAAGGATAGACTCACAGCATGGGGAATAGAGTCAATAATATTGTAATAACTTTGTACATTGACATTGACAGATGGCAACTACACTTATCATGGTGCATATTTAGTGATGTATTTAATTGTCAAATCACTCTGTTGTACACCTGAAACCAGTAAAATATTGTATACCAACTGTATTTCAATTAAAAAAAGTAAAGTGGTGGGACAAAAAAAAAAAAGAACTGACTGTGCCAAGCACCAGCCTGGGCCCTGGAGGTCAGTTGCGCCAATGAGACCTGGTCCCTTTCCTGGAGGAGCCCCTGTCAGAGCCTTACAGACAAGCAAATCCGGAGTCCGGCCCTGGGTGAGCAGAGCTGAGATGGGGGGAGCCCAGAGGCCCTAAGCTAGCCTGGGGGCTGGGCTGGCAGGGAAGGATGCTCAGAGGAGGCGGCAGAGTTTGTTTTGAAAACACACAGCCATGTTAGGCCTGCAAAGGGAAAGGGGCCTTAGGGTGGAGGGAAGAGCATGTGCGAAGCCACAGAGCAGCCTCCCGGCCCCTCCCCAAGGGCAAGAGGGACATGGAGGGTTCAAAGCAGAGGAAGGCCTCTGACTGCAGGGGAGAGCAGCCTGTAGGAGTGAGCCTGAGGAAGGGACGTGAGGAGCAGAGGTCTCTCCTGGGGCAGGGGAAGGTGTGGAGAGTGTGTTAGTGGCCTGAGGCTGCTGTAACAAAGTTCCACAAACTGGCTGGCTTAAAACAACAGAAATTTATTATTTCACAGTTCTGTAGGCTCAAAGTCTGAAATAAGGTATCAACAGTGCCACGTTCCCTCTGAAACTCTGGGTGGAACCCTTCATTGCCTCTTCTTAGCTTCTGGAGGTGGCTATCAACCCTCGGCATTCCTGGGCTTGTAGCAGCACCGTGCCAATCTCCGCCTTTCTTCACATGTGTGTGCGTCTTCACGTGGCACTTCCACTTCCTTTAAGGACACCAGCCATATCGGATCAGGGAGGGACCACCCTAGTGACCTCATATTGACTTGATTAAACATACAAAGGCCCTATTTCCAAATAAGGTCAGTCATAGGTCACTGGGGGTTAGGACTTCAACTTATCTTTTCAGGCAATACAATTCAACCCGTAACAAAGAGGAACAGGTGGTTCCGCTGAACTTCTTGCATGCGGCAGCCGTGAATCCCGCCCTGGCTTTCATAGGTCAGGCCTACAGATGCCTGGTCACCAAGGGTGCCACCAGCCCCCGGACCAGCCAGGAGTATGACCAGCCGAGACCAGATCGGGCACCATGGCCCCCTCTGCTGCCCAAGTTTAGCAAGAGTGGTCTGGCTCCTGCAGGCTAACAGGCAGCAGAGACCCTTGAAGACCAAACATTTTCAAGCCCTGAAAGAGACCTCAGCTCTGAGGCCGAGGGGTCCAACTTGAATGGCATGGAGGGTCTGGAGGCCGTGAGTATGAGCCTTGGTGTCCGACTGGCCTGGATTTGCATCCTGTCTCTGTGACTGCCTGGCTGGGTGCCCCTGGGCTGGTTGCCCAGCCATTCTGTGTCTGGGTCGCCTCCTGGGGAAGCAAAGGGAATCGGGCACATTCCCATGTGGCAAAAGGCTGAGCACAGTACCTGGCAACTGCTTATTATTAAACCATTAATTATGTTAATAAAAAGTTAATAACTATAATGCTTTTAAACCAGGCAGTTAATGCTAATGAGGCAAATTATATTATTGGCAACTACTACCTGCCAGATTTGTTCTCCTTGGATTCCTAAGGGCCTAGAAAGGACAATATTAACAATAATAAATAATGTAGCAATATACAATATTATTGCATTTCTAGGCCCTTAGGGGTCCGAGGGGTCTACAAGCCTAGGGTGTTATCATATTTGCACTAAGCCACATCTATCTTAAGATCTATCTATCTTAATCCCCACATCTGTTAATATGGGACAGTAATTGTGCGTACCTCAAAGGGTCATCATGAGGATTAATGGGATTGCACAAGGAGCCCTTATCTGGGCTGGGGGCCTGCTGCTCAGTGCTTCACCAAGTGCTCCCCTGCTCCCTGTCTCTCTCTCTCTCACACACACACACATTACCTCATGAATTTGTAGTTGATAACATGTTCTACTGTCAGTTGTTTATTTTTGCTTATTTTTTTTCCACATGAATTAAAGAAAATCTTCAAAGGTGTGCTTTTTTCTTCCTGCGAAGAATATTATGGTGGCGCAGGAAAGGATCCCAGGGGGCTGGTGGGGTCAAACCTCTCTAGGCTTACACACTGTCCTGGTTATCCAGGACTAGGAGTTTCCTGGGATGTGGGAACATTCAGTGCTAAAATGGGGACAGTCCCAGGAAACTGAGACTGTTGGTCCCCCTAATTCCTTCCCACCCTGCTTGGGCCAGAAGTTCACTCCCACTAGGAAGATTGACTCAAGTCCAGGGAAAGGATAAAAGCAGACTGATCTGGCTTTAAATTGTAGCCTTGGCACTGATTGCTGTGTGACTGTGGGTAGGTCACTTAACCTCTCTGAGCTTTGGTCTATAAAGCTGGGATGTTGTAGATATTGGATGAGGCATGTGATCTCTCTGCTTGGAGCCTGGTGCAAACAGGTCTCCAAAAATGAGTGAGTTGGCTGTGGTTTCTGCCTTTTGCGTCTGGTGTCTGGCTCCTGGTTAGAGACCCCAGAGTCCTGGGTGGTGGAAAGGGCCCTGTCTGCTGAGGAAGCTGAGGGAAGCAGGCAACTAGGGCTGATGCAGCCCCACCCTGGTTGGTCGATCTGACGTGTCTTGGTTGCTTGGCTGCCCTCTTCCTCTCGGGACAAGAGCCCCAGGAGGGCCCGGGCCACCTTGCTGACTGCTGTGTGCTTGGGGCTAGCTCAGGGCTGGGGGGCACAACAGAGATCTGATGAATATCAAATAATTTTTGGATTAAACTGAATCCCAGGGTAGAAGGGGAAAACCTGGGGCCTGGGTAGGGGTGGAGCATAAGCGGATGGTGAGGCAGCCCGGGTGGTCAGTGGGGGAGAGTTGGCAGGCAGCGGTGGGGTGAATGGGCACTGGAGATGGAAGGATTTTGGGGTCCCGGGGAGATGGTTCAGTTCTGGGTCTGATATGTCCTGTGATGTGACGTGACCTCAGGCAAACCCCCTCCACACTCAGACGGTTAATCCCCACATCTGTTAATATGGGACAGTAATTGTGCGTACCTCAAAGGGTCATCGTGAGGATTAATGAGATTGCACAAGGAGCCCTTATCTGGGCTGGGGGCCTGCTGCTCAGTGCTTCACCAAGTGCTCCCCTGCTCCCTGTCTCTCTCTCTCTCACACACACACACACACACACACAGCTTCCAGGTCTTGGTAGTTCACAGGAGTGCTTCAACCACACAGGGTTTCAGCGCATGATGGGTGCACCCCAAACCCTGCCAGCCCTCAGATACACTCACACAGGCACCCACCGTGCTCTCTTGGCATCCCCCAATTCCCACCAGTCACCCCCCACCAGGGCCCCACCAGTCAGCACCACTGAGGCTGATTAACAAAAACACATCAAACTCCTTTACTTCTGAAGGGAGGCAGGAAATAGAACATTCTTTTTTGGAGGGAAGGGGATTTAACTTAAAAAAACTATAGTCAAATACTGATCTCAGGCCCTGTGTGTTGTGGGCCCAGTCCTGCCTGGCTGTACCCCCACAGCATCCCCCCCTCACTCCAGGGGTTGGGGTGGCACCAAGAGGGGTGCAGGGGAGGCCAGCGGGCCCCTGCCCAGCTGCTTCTCAGCCTGCAAGCAGGCAGCGGGTGCCACCGGGCAGGCAGGATGTCACCACTGCAGAAAGTCCCGAAGGAGCTTCCAGAGCTTGGTGATCCACAGGTTGGCACCAAGGTCCATCAGGTACTGGATCTCGGGCGTGAGCATGCGGCGGCAAAGCTGTGCATGCCTCCGCCCGATTCTCTTCTTGAGGTTGTAGCCCAGGATGGACTTGGTGCCCAGCGGCTGCCAGGGCTGCATGGCTGAGTCCTGGATGGCCGTGGCATCCACAGCCTGGCCCCCGTCAATGCAGATGTGCCGCATGCGCTCGTTGGCATGACGCAGGGCAGCCACCTCGCGGACCATGCGCTCCTGGCCAAACGCCTCCACCTTGCACCAGAAGCTGGCATTGAAGTGGTGGTAGAGGCGGGCATCCAGCACGTTCCAGGTCGTGGCGCGCTGGTACAGCTCACCTGAGAGGCGTGGCACGGCCGAGGTGCGGCGGGCATTGAGCTTGAAGTAGAGCACATCCTCCAGCTCCCAGCACAGTAGGTCCTTGAGCAGCACCAGGGACTCGTCGAAGTACTCCTGGAGGAGCACCAGGTGGAAGCGGCGCTCCACCTCCAGGATGTGCTCCTGCACCTGCGGGTTGCCAGGGTCCAGGCTACTGTCATAGCCCAGGTCGAAGAAGAGCAGGTTGTGGAGGTAGTGGGCGTTGTAGCCGTTGGGGTCGTAGTAGCGGTCAGGATCCTGCAGGAACTCGGCCAGCTTGTCGTGGCTGGAGAGCTTCCACGTGAAGGGCACCACCGACCCGAAGTAGTGGAAGGAGGACTCGAAGAGGCGGGCGGGGTCGCGGAGCACAGTGATGAAGGTGGCATTGGGCGGCACCAGGCCTCGAACCTCGTCGTAGTGGAAGCGCATGTGGTTGCAGATGATGTTGAAGCAGGCCCCAGGCCGGTAGTCCTGCACCAGGCTGCGGGTGAAGAAGGCCGGGTAGTGGAAGTCGTTGCGGCCATTGGGGAAGGCGAACTTGAGCCCGTGCTTCTGGCCGAAGCGGAACAGGATGTTGAGCAACGTGCTGCTGGCCGTCTTGTGCGTCTTCATGAACACGATGTCGCGCCGCGGCTGGCACCCTCCCACCGAGCCATTGGCTGTGGTTGCCGCAGCTGGCTTGGCCGGTGCTGGGGAGCAGGATGCTGTGCCCTCTGGGGTCCTGCTGAGGATGAAATGGTGGGGGGACCCTCAGGGGCTGCGGGCCTGCAGGACTCAGACCCCTGGGGCCCTGGGGATGGTGGTGGCAGGGACCTGGGTCAGAGGACCAGATGGGCTTGCATCCAGGTTACAGTGCCTGGGCCAGTGGTTTGTTCACCTGGGCCTCACGTCCCTCATCTATGAAACAGGGGAAATAAGAGGCCCTGTTCATGGTGTTGGTGTGAAGCCAGAGTGAAGTGCCTATCTCATTCATGGCCACGGCATCCTCCATTTATCATGCATCAGCATTAGGTTGGGCCACATGAAATTCTGTCTGCCCCAAATGGTCAACTTCTGACCAGAAATGGTCAATGATCTGTAACTTCCTCTAGTTCAGTTTAATACCACCAACTAAGGGCACAAGCTATTCCAGGCCTGGGCTGAGCAGCCCAGTGAGGAGGTGGGACAGCCTCATGATCAGAAGCCAGGCTGGGAAGCAGACAGACCCCAGTTTGAACCCAGAGAGTGGGCTGAGTGCTCCTGGAGAAGTCGCCCCCACCTCCCTGCTCCACTGGAGCCTCAGATGATGATAATCGGACCCTGTGCACCGATGGCATTACTTGATTCTCATGCTCCAGGAGGCAGGCTCTGTTGTTGTGCCCAATTCACAGATAAGGACACTGAGGCCCAGGGTGACACAGTGGGTTCTGCCCGGAGCAGCAGGGTGCAGGGTGCCCCCTCTCCCCCACCTCCACCCGTCAGTCACCCAGGAGGGTCACTCACGTGGAGCCCAGAGCAGCATGCAGTGGGGGGACGGCATAGGAATACAGCAACAGCAGGAAGCTTGTGAAGAGCGCTCCCAGCACCAGCCCCTTGGCCATGGACTCCCAGCGCTTCCTGTGCAGCAGCGGCATCTCAGACACCTGTGGTGGGGACACAGGGCAGAGCAAGTGGCAGGAGACCAGCCTCAGGGCGCCCCCACGGCTGCCCCCGGCCTGGCTGGGTTAAGGGGCAACCTTTGAGATTGGGACCTGCCTTTATCAGCTCTGTGGCCCCCCCAGCAAGGTGCAGAGAGGGACAGAGAGACAAACACATTGGGGGACACAGCAACAGGGCTGCAGTCAGAGAGGTGGGCAAAGCCAACACAGGGAGAGGTTGGGGAGTAGGGCAGCGAGAAGGTTCTACTGCCTGGTTCAGTTTTAATTTTTAGCTGAGTGGCAGGATGGGCCCATGGGTGTTCATTAGTTTACTTTTAATACCTTTTTGGGCTTCGTAAACAAAATCATTTTCCTAGAAGGAAAAGAAGCCCCTCTCCCAGAGCCCCCCTCCAGGCCTGGGCAGGGAGGAGCCTGAATCCTTTACGTTTACCGCCCGCCCCTTGGGCCACCCTTCCCAGCTGCCCGGCGAGGGTCCGAGGCTCCCCATCTGCCTTCACTGGCCCTGTGGCCCTGGGTGTATTGGGAAGGCAAATGGGGAGACCTAGGCTCCGAGTGAGGAAGGAGAGGGCTCTGGTCCCCCCGACAGCCAGGCCTCTGCCCACACGCCCACCTCCTCTCTGACTGCCAGCGTGCAGCCTTAACCCAGGGGAATCTCAATTTGAGACGATGGTGGATAAAGATGTTTACTATAAGTATATCCCCAATATTCCACGGGATATACCTCTTGTGATATAAGGAGTCATAAGAAATACATATTTGGTCATACATATGACCAAATACACATTTCCCAAGTATATCTGGTCTTCCTTCATCCACAGTTCCTGAAAACACTGCAGACTGAGTCTTAAAGGTGACACGGTGTTTTGTCATGTTAATGAGGCTTTTGGACCCCACCTCCAAGGGCAGGGGCTGGAGGCTGAATCAGCCAGCAGTCAGTAATTTAGTCAATCACGACCAGGCAGTGAAGCCCTCCCAAGAAGGCCTCAGAAGAGCTTGCTGCTCTCTGCCCTGCTCGGTTGGTTGGGTCCTGCTTCTTGGTCGGAAAGAGCTGCTTTTCTTGGGGAACCAGAACGCCTCCACACGCCACCCACCCAGGCCCCAAGCTCCACGAGGACAGAAGCTCCTTTATTTGGGACTTTGCCCTATGTCTCCCTTCATCTGTCTATTAACTTGTATCCTTTACTAAACTGGTTAAATGTGTTTTCCTGAGTTGTGTGAGCCATTCTAGCAAATGACTCGAACCCAAGGAGGAGGTTGTGGGAACCTCCACCCTGTAGCTGGTAGGTCAGAAGCACAGGTAAGTGCCTGGGGCTTGCGGCTGGCGCCCGGAGTGGGGTGTGGGGGGCAGTCCGGTAGGACGGAGCCCTTCACCTGGGAAACCTGGTGCTGCCTCCAGGCAGACAGCGTCAGAATTGGGTTGAGTTCTCTAACACCTGCTGGTTTTCGAAACTTGCTTGGTTGGGGTTAGTTTGTGTGGGAAGACCCCCTTCCACATATTTACACACATTAGAATTGGGGCCGAGAACCCGAATGAGATTATACTATTACTCATGTGTGTAATATTGTTATTGTTATACATATACGTAGGAAAAGAACAAACCATTGCACCTATACTAAAAATTATTCAATGTTTAACTGAAAATCAAACTTAACTGGATGTCCTGGATATTTGTTTCTGGTTTTGGGGAGTTTTTGGTCTAACTGTGGCAACCCTATCACAGGGGACTGAGGTATAAGCTGTAATGGGGACAGTTCACAGTGAGGGATGGGGGTCCAGGAGAGAACTGGGGCCCATTTCTCCTTAACTGCAAGGTCAAGGCATAAAACTTTCCACTCGCGTTCCAACACATGCTTCACCGGGGCGCTGGGACCCTGAGGCCACGAAAGGTCATGTGTGCTACCCCGTGACCACATGCATGATCACTATCCCTGGGAGCACAGTCCAAATAGCTCGCCTAGAACAGGACTTCACATACTTCTCCCTGGAAAAGTTACTCATGGCACCCACAAACCCATTCCCACCAGCCAGCACCAGTCCCTGAGTCCTCTACTCATCATCTAGAAATTTCTCCTCATGGGAAAGGACATAAGAAGCAATATGCAGAGGAAGAAACTATACGAGAGGGAATCTGGCCTCTGTCATAATGACATATCCTGGTTCACTCTTAGGTGGGCAAAGAGGACAGGGTCGGGGTGACAAGAAAGTGGGAGTGTTTCCAGAGGGCAGTTCTATCAAAGGAGGAAGGTACAAGCTCTCCAAATTTCAACTATTCTACAGAAACACTTGGGCAAAGTCACACATGCCAGCATATTCATGGCAGCTTGGTCAGAAATAGAGAAATACAAACAACTTCAGTGTCCATCAGCAAGGGGACTCCACAAACCAAGGCCTGTCCTAATGGAGTCACCTGTACCACTAAAAAAAATAACTGGCCTGGCTCAAAAACACACCATGATCTACATGAAAGAAGAAAGTTCCAGAACACTATGCCTCCAAATCCGTATATGTATACAGGTAAATATACATGTAGGCCCAGAAAGAATCAATTGAGGGCAATATTCTAAATTTTTTTTTTGTTGCTATTTTAATGTACAATTACATGAGCAATATTACAGTTACTAGACTCCCCCGATCATAAAGTCCCCACCACATACCCCATTACAGTCACTGTCCATCAGCATAGTAAGATGCTATAGAGTCACTACTTGTCTTCTCTGTGTTATACTGCCTTTCCCGTGCACCCCTCTCCCCACTACATTATGTATGCTAATTGTAATACCCCCTTTCCCCCCTTATTCCTCCCTTCCCACCCATCTTCCCCAGTTCCTTTCCCTTTGATAACTCTTAGTCCATTTGTGAGTCTGCTGGTGTTTTGTTCCTTCAGTTTTTGCTTTGTTCTTATACTCCACAGATGAGTGAAATCATTTGGTACTTGTCTTAGCGATGTTGTTGCAAATGGAAGGATTTGTTTTCTTCTTATGGCTGAGTAATATTCCATTGTGTATATGTGCCACATCTTCTTTATCTATTCATCTACTGATGGACACTGGGTTGTTTCCATTTCTTGGCTATTGTAAATAGTGCTGCGATAAACATAGGGGTGCATATATGTCTTTTTCAAACTAGGCTGCTGTATTCTTAGGGTAAATTCCTAGGAGTGGGATTCCTGGGTCAAATGGTATTTCTATTTTGAGTTTTTTGAGGAACCTCCATACTGCTTTCCACAATGGTTGAACTAATTTACATTCCCACCAGCAGTGTAGGAGGGTTCCCCTTTCTCCACATCCTTGCCAACATTTGTTGTTTGTCTTTTGGATGTTGGCCATCCTAACTGGTGTGAGGTGATATCTCATTGTGGTTTTAATTTGCATTTCCCTGATGATTAGTGAGATGGAGCATCTTTTCAGGTGCCTGGTGGCCATCTGATTTCTTCTTTGGAGAAGTTTCTTTTCAGCTACTCTGCCCATTTTTTAATTGGCTTATTTGCTTTTTGTTTGTTGAGGTGAGTGAGCTCTTTATATAATTTGGATGTTAACCCCTTATCACATATGTCATTTATGAATATATTCTCCCATACTGTAGGATGTCTTTTTGTTCTATTGATGGTGTCCTTTGCTGTACAGAAGGTTTTTTTAGTTTGATGTAGTCCCACTTGTTCATTTTTGCTTTTGTTTCCCTTGGCTGGGGAGATATATTCATGAAGAAGTGGCTCATTTTTATATCCAAGAGATTTTTGCCTATGCTTTTTTCAAAGAGTTTTATGGTTTCATGACTTACATTCGAGTATTTGATCCATTTTGAGTTTACTTTTGTGTATGGGGTTAGACAATGATCCAGTTTCATTCTCTTACATGTAGCTGTCCAGTTCTGCCAACACCAGCTGTTGAAGAGGCTGTCATTTCCCCACTGTATATCCATGGCTCCTTTATCATATATTAATTGACCATATAGGGTTGGGTTTATATCAGGGCTCTCTAGTCTGTTCCATTGGTCTATGAGTCTGTTCTTGTGCCAGTACCAAATTGTCTTGATTATTGTGGCTTTGTAGTAGAGCTTGAAGTCAGAGAGCGTAATTCCCCCTGCTTTATTCTTCCTTCTCAGGATTGCTTTGGCTATTCAGGGTCTTTTGTCATTCCATATGAATTTTAGAACTATTTGCTGTAGTTTGTTGAAGAATGCTGTTGGTATTTTGATAGGGATTGCATTGAATCTGTAGATTGCTTTAGGCAGGATGGCCATTTTGATAATATTAATTCTTCCTATCCATGAGCACAGAATGTGTTTCCATTTATTGCTATCTTCTTTAATTTCTCTCATGAGTATCTTGTAGTTTTCAGAGAATAGGTCTTTCACTTCCTTGGTTAGGTTTGTTCCTAGGTAGTTTATTCTTTTTGATGCAATTGTGAATGGAATTGTTTTCCTGATTTCTCTTTCTGCTAGTTCACTGTTAGTGTATAGAAATGCAACAGATTTCTGTGTACTAATTTTGTATCCCGCAACTTTACTGAATTCAGATATTAGATCTAGTAGTTTTGGAGTGAATTCTTAGGGTTTTTAATGTACAATATCATGTCATCTGCAAACAGGGATAGTTTACCTTCTTCCTTACCAATCTGGATGCCTTTTATTTCTTTGTGTTGTCTGATTGCTGTGGCTAGGACCTGCAGAACTATGTTGAATAGAAGTGGGGAGAGTGGGCATCCTTGTCTTGTTCCTGATCTTAAAGGAGAAGCTTTCAGCTTCTTGCTGTTAAGTATAATGTTGGCTGTGGGTTTGTCATATATGGCCTTTATTATGTTGAGGTACTTGCCCTCTATACCCATTTTGTTGAGAGTTTTTATCATGAATGGATGTTGAATTTTGTCAAATGCTTTTTCAGCATCTATGGAGATGATCATGTGGTTTTTGTCCTTTTTGTTGATTTAGTGGATGATGTTGATGGATTTTCAAATGTTGTAGCATCCTTGCATCCCTGGGATGAACC